GGGCACCATCAGCTTTCTTCACCACATTTGCTTATTCACTCGCTTTGAAGAAGACATTTTTATAAACACTCCCTCCTACACCCCCCTACACACACAAAGAAATAAAAGAAAGAAGAAAAATTCAAAATTATTACTGACACCAACAACTTGGACAAATAGAAAAGGAAGGACAAAAGAAGTAAAAGCTCAAGATCAAGGCCAAAATACGTGAAATAGAAAATAAAAGGTCAGAAAATATGAACAAATTTAGAAGTTGCTTCTTTGAAAGAATCTGTAAGACACACAAGCCACGGGCTATACTAACCAAAAAAAAAAAGAAAAAGGAAAAAGAAAAAAACACAAAAAGAGAGGCAAATAGCCAAATTAATGAAATTCATGATATTGCAATCAATCCAAACAGGGATGAAGGTTGAAACTGATTACTATGAAAAACTGAACTCTAACACGAAAACTTAGATAAAATGGACATATTTCTAGAAACATACTGCCTACACATTCATACTATTTAGCCCCAAAATGCAGATATAAAATTTAAATAAAACCAGCAGGCCAGTGGAGAAGCTCCTGAGGGGTCTTCTCTCTCGGGAGCCTCTCTCCCTTTGCCTCAGGACCTGATCTTGTGTCTTGCATAGCTATTAGGTGTCTCTCAGGTAGCTCCCCCCTGGCTGGAGTGCTACGTGGCTCAGCATTAGAGAGTCAATCACTGTCATCTACCATATAAATGCAATAAAGAAAAAGAAACATATGACCATATCAACTCATGCAAAAGGGCATTTGATAAAATTCAACACTTTCCTGATAAACTTGTTGCAAAATAAGAATAGAAGGGAAATATCTTAACATAATAAAGGCATATGTATAAAGCCAATAGCGAACATTATACTCAGGGGAGAGAGGCTGAGAGTCTTGAAAATAAGGGTGGGATACGAGTTCCCATTATCACCTCTTTTATTCAGTATTGTACTGGAAGTTCTAGTCAGATCAATACAACAAGAAAGAGGCATAAATAGTATCCCAGTGGGAAAGGAAGATGCAAAACTATTTCTATTTGCAGATGCCCTACTCATATACATGCTGTGTTGTTAGGACCATTGAGTTGGTTCTCACTCACAGCGCCCATGTACCACAAAATGGAAAAATCACAAACTCCTGTACCATCCTTTATGTAGAAACCCTTAAAGAGTCTACAAGGAGCCCTGGTGGCACAATGGGCTAAGTATCCGGCTGCTAAAAGCAAGGACAGCAGTTCAAAGCTCCATGGGAGGAAAATGAGGCTTTCTACTCCTGTGAAAAGTTACAATCACAGAAACCCACAAGAGCAGTTCTACCTGTTCTATAGGGATGCTGTGTATCCGAATCAGGTCAATGGTAGTGAGTTTGGTTTGGGTTTTGAAAGATTCCACAAGAAAACTACAGGCAGCAGTAATAGAATAATTTGGCAATGTGGATTACATTGTGTTAGGGCACATCATGAGGGACTCTGGGCCTTAACTGCCAAACCACTCAGAATGCTGGCCCAGTCAAGTTGATACAAAACCCAACTATCATATTAGCCATTTCACATCCAAAGTCACTGCCATTGAGTTGATGCCAACTTACAGTGACCCTATAGGGTAGTATTGCAACCGTGACTTTCGGAGACTGTATCTCTTTACCGGAGTAGAAAATCCTGTCTTTCTTCCAGGGAGTTTCTGGTAATTTTGACATTAGCAGCCTAATGAGTAACCACTATACCACCAGGATTCCTAGGAAGATGCAAATCAAAACTATAATGATATACTGCCTTACCCTTGCTAAAGTGCTACTGATTTAAAACAAACAAACAGATGACAACAAGTGTTCACAAGAATGTGGGAAGATTGGAACCCTTATTCATTGAGAGTGGTATTGCTATACCAGAAAACAATGTGAAACTTTCTCAGAAAGTTAGAAATAGAACTGCCCCAAGATACAGCAGTTCCAAAGTATATGCCTTAGAGATCGAAACGTGAACAGGTATGGGGTCAGATATATGTTCATTGCTGCTTTCTTCACTATAGCAATGAAATGGGCATAACTGGATAAGCAAATCACGATACTTACATACAATGGAATACTATCCAACCATAAAAAGTAATGAGGAATCCATGTAGCACATTATAACATGGATGGACCTGTAAAGCATAATGCCAAGTGAAATAAATCAAGCATATGAAACTAAGTATTGCATGATCCCTTACTTATGAGAAGACAAGAATGGATGATATAGAGAGACTACTGCTCACTGGTGGTTACCTGGGAGAGGATGGGAGAGAGGAAAGTATACTTTAAACCACAGAGGCTTGTTATTTGGGGTGATGGGAAAGTTGGCATTGGATGTAGATGGAGTGAGAGCAGCACAACCCAAGTAAACATGAGCACCTAGGCACAACTTAGGGTATGAGTAGGTCCAGGTGTATACATAGGTGAGAATAAATGGAAGTTTCTTCTTTTTTTTGATTTTTTTAATCGTTTTATGAGGGCTTATACAACTCTTATCACAATCCATACATACATCAGTTGTGTAAAGCACATTTGTACATTCATTACCCTCATCATTCTCAAAACTTTTGCTCTCCACTTAAGCCTCTGGTATCAGGTCCTCTTTTTTTCCCCTCCCTCCCCGCTCCCCCCCTTCCTCATGAACCCTTGATAATTTATAAATTATTATTCTGTCATATCTTGTCCTGTCCGAAGTCTCCCTTCACTCATTTTTCTCTTGTCTGTCCCCCAGGGAGGAG